GTGAATAGCATCCATCTATATAGTGGACGCCCATGGCAGATTGGTCATTTCGTCCATGCAGAATGGTGGTGACAAAGCGTGAGCTGAAAGATGAGTCATCCCTCTTTTTATAAGTGTCGACTGATGACTAGAAGAGAAGTCATTTTAGCATGGGAGATGACGTCTCCGCGATATCTGGGAAGTGACTTGTGAGCGTGGAAGAAAGCACGTGGGCATAATGAGTTCTCCCTCGCTTTACAAGTGTCGACTGGTGAGAGGGGAAGTCACTTAATTATGAGAGAATGTATATCCGTATTTTTCGGGAAGTGATTGAGCTGAAAAATCATGGAGACTTATCAGACCAAAATCTGGATAAGGCTTGTCCGAGGTGGACTAAGATGTCGATATTTGCTCTGGGGGAGAGGCTTGAGACCGGGGTCGAGTCCTCAACTTAGTCAACAGCAAGGAACGTCCCTTAAGTCGTTTTTGAGAAAATACTAAGTGAGTGGTCGAGTGCCCTAAATAGGGTCGTCTGACACCGCCTTTCGCGTTGGCTCAGGAATGTCGGCTTGTCTCAGCTTAATAACCGCCTTTCGAGTCGATATAAAGATGTTGACTCGTCTGGAATGTCAGGATCTCTCGTATCGGCTAAAAACGTCTGGAATGTCAGGATCTCTCGTATCGGCTAGTATCGTCTCTTGTGTCGACACCAGGATGCCGGCTTGATGAGTCAATAAGGCCGAGACCTCTGTAATTGTGCCTTGGGCATACCTTGATAAAGAGCTAAGGTCTTGTACTCTATCCATGATGGTCGAGTTATACTGGAGGATCCGACCATATATTGTGCCTTGGGCTTACCTTGATAAAGAGCCAAAAGCTTATTAATTGACTTAGGAGTTGAATGCCTAGAGCTCTTGGGAGTGGACTAGGACTCTTATTGTATTACTTTGCAAATACTATAACTTGGGTGAGTAAACACCATAATAGTTGGCCCCTTTCATTCGGAGTTGGCTTTTAGTCGACTCCGAAAGAAACAAGATATGCTCTGATCAATATAGGCCAGCTAAAGACGAGAAACCGAGGGGTCTCGATCTTGGACACGTGGCTTGTACTGATTGGACATCCATTGTTAACTCCACTATTCGTGGCTGACGTCATCAAAAGATCCGAACCGTCTTTTTAGGGGATGAAGCGTCATGGATAGAAGGGAGGATCTTCCACTTTTTGAGTATTAGGACATGGGGTATTAAATACGGGTGGCACTTTGTGTTTCGAGTGAACCGCTTCAGATTCCAATGTGGTGCCGGTTGCTTTGGAAATCGCTGCATCTTTTGGAAATCCCTCTATACTCTTCCTTGAAAGCTTATAAATAGCTTTTTAATGGTAAGATAATTCTTTTACGAACCTTTGCTCTGGAAAAATTCCTAATATTCCTCCAAGTTTTTTCTAAGAAGAAATCTTCCATGGCTTCCCAAGCTTCAAACTCTGGCCGTAGTGAGGAGAGACTTGCTGCTCTTTTCATTATCTGCTCGAAGGTCCATATGGACAATATGGTAGGATTGTATGATCAATACAATATCCCTCGGACTCTCCCTTTGGTGGCACCAGAGATGAGCGAGCTAGTGTACTACCATGGCGAGGGTCGAGTGCGGCTATACTTAGCCCATTTGGAGCATGACATACGGTTGCCCTTACACCCTTTTATGAAGGAGGTGCACGTCGCTCTAGGATTCTCCCCTTCCCAGTTCTATCCAAACTCAGTGGGAGTTCTGGTGGCTTTTATCACCATCTGCCACCGTGTTGGAGTCCAACCAAGCTTGAGATTGCTTAGGCATTTGATCAGCATGAGGTCGATTGAGAAGGACCAGCATTACTCTTTCCACTATCGTGGGGAGTTCCAGATTGTTTTCGATTCTTTGGAATTGGATGAGGACTGGAGGAGGTAGTTTGTGTGGTTCTATGGCGGTGACAACGTCTTTGCCTGCTCGAACTGGCCGATGGCGAATGAAGAAGCTTTGCGGCCAGTTACCCTTAGTGACTCCGAGATGATGGATCTGGAAAAGATCTGTTCTTATGCTGGGTCACAAGAGAGTGATGCTCTATTTGACGATGTGTCTCTCCAAATGGCGGGCATGTCCATAATTTTTTCTTCCACTAGCTTCGAGGCAAGGACGATCCCCATTCCTCTGTTAGCGGAAAATCGCAAGAGGAATGCAGGGACTGAGGGCGCGAGCTCCACTGCTAGACCCTATAAGAAGCCGAGGGGGGCTTTTAGTGTAGAGGAGGTGACTGTCTTGATGCCTCAAGCAACTAGCATTGCCTCTAAATTAAGGGGAAGGACAAGGGTTAAGAGGCGGCGCCCAGTTAGACCAGTTAGGATGGGTCCGCTAATAACTCAGCTTAACCGCTTGGAAAATGTGGGATAGATAGACGAGTCTTCTCCTGGCAGGGAGACTATGACCCTAGTGGTCGAGGAGGATGCTGTCGGCCCCAACACTAATCCTGAGGTGTCTCGTCATCTTGGCAAGGAGCTAATTGGGATGAACGATATCGTCGAGGGGAGAACTGAAACTCCATCAAACCAGATGGAGAATGGTGCTGACGGGAGGATTTTGGAGAATATGCCAAGTGTTGGCACACACAAAGCTCTTCAAGCTTGTTTAGTTCGGGGGACTTCGCTGGGACACACATTGTTCAATTGACTCGAGCGTTCTCTGGAAGGCCACACAGAGCTGGCTAAGGAGAAGTCAGCCAAGGAAGAGATAGAGAAGAGGATCACTGTCTTGGACGCCGAGTTGGCTCACAAAGAAGGCGCTTGGCGCCGGAGTCTAGATGAGAAGGAAGAGCTCCTCAAGAGTTTTCGAATCCAGTTCTTCAAGCATATGGGGACCATCGAGGACCTTCAAATAGAGATGGTTCACCTACATGTGGAGGCCGAGTCCGAGAAGCGTCGTAGGACGATGGCTAAGGCAGAGGCTCAAACAAGTCGTCTGTCTCTTGAAAAGATGATGAGGGACTTTGAAGAGCTGCAATCAAAGCTTTAGGCGTCTGTGGCCCTTGTCGAGAAATTAGAGGACCACTCGCTCATCTAGATTCAGAGCAACATAGAAAGAGAGTGTTCGACGACTGGCATCATGACCCTATAGGGAAGGCCGAAGTAGCCTTAGCATATAAAGCTGGGGTTGATTACTTCGCGTCTTTGGTGCCTCGCGACTCTCATCCGACTCCAAATCGTTTCTATCCTTTCTGCATATCCTGTTGTCTCGATTTGTTATCTCGATTTGTTGAAGGATGTTGAGAAAATTAGAGGCGGGTTGGATTTATCAATGAATGTCGATGAGGTCGAGCCTGTTGCTGGGGCCCCTGGGGAATATTCTACCCTTGCTGCCACCAGGAGTTCTCCAAGTCCTACTCCCAAGCCTGGTCGATAGATTTGACGACCTGCTTCTCTCTCTCTCTCTCTCTCTCTCTCTCTCTCTCTATATATCTCTCTCTCTCTCTCTCTCTCTCTCTCTCTCTCTCTCTCTCTCTCTCTCTCTCTCTCTCTCTCTCTCTTGGTAGAGAAGTTTGTAACAAAGTTTACTCTTATTGAATAAAAATTAAATTTTATCTCCATTCTTGAGCTTGCCTTTATGTTTGTGTTCTTTTAGCTTTGTAGCTTTGTTCTCATCTGAGATGTTGGTTGAAGTGAGTTAGTTGTAATGTGTCGACCCGTACTGGGGACTTATGACAACTAGTTCACTTGATACCTTATTTTGGCTAAGCGTTTAATTGACCAGAACTTGACAGACGACTGCTTAAGTTATTAGCCATACGCTTAATATTCGTACCTTAGATTTATGAATACCTTTTTGGCAGAATGATAACTCTGAGGTTGGGTGCTTAGGTCTTATAAAGGTGCCTAGGTCTTC